GTGGCAATGGTGAGGAGGAGACGGTTGGACCGGATGATCTTACAGGTCGTTTCCAACCTTGTGGTTTTATGATTCCATGATTCTATGATCCTATGCCCACGCTCCGTTACCGCACTGCTCACCCCTCCAGGCACTTGGTGTAGTGCGTGCCGTTCCAGCCGCAGTTCCCACTGCGGTCCCCTCGCGCGTTCACGTCCCTGAAGCAGCTCAGTGGGGCACGGCGGGCGGCTGCGGAGTGGGAGAAAGGAGGAGATTGCTGTGGTGAGGCAACTCCCGATGGTTTCTGTGGGTGTTCTGATGGCCCAATGTGTTTTATGGATTCTATTTGTGTGCGTGTCTTGTTTTCCTCTTTTTGGCTGTAATGAAGTGGCTATGGGGAGAGATTTGCTGCAAGGGAACAGTCAGCGGTCAGAGAACAGACCACGCTCCTTTGTCTGGAATAATCTGGAGTGGAAGATTGGGATAAAGACTGCAAATCTCTCCAAAGCCTATTTCTTTCTTTCTTTCTTTCTTTCTTGCTTGCTTGCTTGCTTGCTTGTTCTTTTTCTTTTTCATTAAAACAAATGTGCCAGTGTATCTTAGATTTACCCTGAAACCAGAATCCCTACCGTTATGCTCTGTATGAACAGGAAGGATTCTGGTCAGACGTCAGAAACAACTCCCAGAGTTGGGTTTCAGCAAGACAGAACCACTTCCAACCCGGGGAGCCCCCAGTTTTTCATCCTCATATTCGCCAATCGTTGCCTACAGCGTGGCCAACGCTGCTGCCTTCGTGGGCAAGGTTTGTGGCTCTGCAGACTCCAAACTTTGTGTAGATGTGGCAGAGCACGGAGGAATGTGGTTTTGTTTGCAGAAGACTTGCGTGTGCTCATAGCGAAACCTGCAGCTCGAGTCCTGGTGGTCACTGCTGCTGTCGGTGAGGAGGAAGTGCGGAGCCCATGTGCTGTGCCACGGCCCTGGGACGTGACCTGGGGAAGTCTGCTACTTCCTACAGAACTGAGAGAGCCTCAAAGAGGATGTGGGCATGCGTTGCACTTCAAGTTAAAACGGGGGGAAATGTAGATGCGCAAATTGGGAGCGCTGCTGCTTTCAGCTGCGTAAGAAGGGTTTCGATGGCTGTTTTCATCGTGCGTTTATTTCTGTTTCTTCATTACTAGAAGTGCCATTCCCTTGTCCCACTGAGTGCGAGACGCAGCTAAGCAGCACTGCAGCAGCTAATGCCTGAGGGAACCACGTTTCTGCTGCCCTGACTATTGTAAACAGATATTTTATACTGCCTTTAAATGTGTGTTGTTTCACCTGTGTAGTGGTGTAGCTACTGTTATAAAACCCCGGGGCATTTCAAAAGTATTCTGTAATAATTCCTTCTTGTCTCCTCTCCCCCAGGTGCTCAGCCCCAGGGTGCTCAGCCTGTCCCCACCAGGCCCCCACCATCTCTGCACCCTCACTGGGCTCTCCCCAGCAGTTCCCTTTCTACCTGGAACTGGGGAGCCCAGCACTGGGTGCAGTACTCCAGGTGTGCCCCCCCCAGGGCAGAGCAGAGGGAAGGAGCACCTCCCCGTCCTGCTGCCCGCATTCTGTGCATCCCAGCTGGCCTTCTTGGCCTCCAGGGCGCACTGATAGTGTGTACTCAGCACTGGTGAGGCCGCACCTCGAGTGCTGTGTGCAGTTTTGGGCCCCTCACTGCAAGAAAGATATTGAGGCCCTGGAACGTGTTCAAAGGAGGGCAACAAAGCTGTGAGGGGTCTGGAACACAGGCCATATGAGGAGGCTGAAGGAGCTGGGAATGTTCAGCCTGGAGAAGAGGAGCTCAGGGCAGAGCTCACTGCTCTCTATGACTGCCTGAAGGGAGGTTGTAGTGAGCTGGGGGTCGGCCTCTGCTCTCATGTCATCAGTGATAGGAGCAGAAGGAATGGCTTCAAGCTACGGCAGGGGAGATTCAGGCTGGACATGAGGAAGAATTGCTGGTCAGAAAGGTCAGCAGTGCAATGGATGCCCAGGGAGGTGGGGAGGCACCGAGCCTGGGGGTGTTCAAGGAAAGGCTGCATGTTGTGTTGAGGGACGGGGTTCAGTGGGAGCTGTTGGGAATGGGGGAACGGTTGGACTGGGGGAGCTTTGAGGTCTTTTTCATCCTCGGTGATTCTGTGATGCTATGATTGTATGATTCTATAGTCTGTGATCAGCCTGCAGCCAACGGTTGACCAACCAGGACCCCATTGGCCTTCTTGGCCACCAGGGCACACTGCTGCCTCATGGTCAGCTGCTGGTCAACCATTGGCCAACCAGGACACCAACAGCTCTCTTGGCCATGGGGGCACACTGCTGGCTCATGATCACCCTGCTGGTCACCAGGACCCCCAGGTCCTTGTCCACAGAGCTCCCTCCTTTCTAGCAGGTCAGCCCAAGCCCATACTGATGCCTAAATGCTGAAGCATTTCTAAGGCAAGAGCTAATTCCATGTGGGATGATTTGCTGATTCCTTATGTCAGTTATCTTGCCTTTGCCAAACAGAGCCTTGCACTGCGCCTCGTGGCTGTGGCACTGCCCTTCGTAGCAGCGGTTGTTGTTGCCACATGGAGTTCCATCTTGCTTAAACACATCCACAGGGCAGCTGGCTGAGTTGCCATTGCAGTACTCTGGCAGATCACACTCGCTCTGGTGCGCTCTGCAGATTTTTCCTGCTGGCTGAAACTGTGAAAAGGGAAGGGAAGGGAAGGGAAGGGAAGGGAAGGGAAGGGAA